ACCAAATTGAATTGTAAACTTATAAATTCAAACTAACATTAAATGATTATTTAATGTAACATTGTTCTGTTGATCTCGATGATTTATATATGAGTATGTGTATGCGTGTATGTATGTGTATGTATATGTATATATATATATGTATGTACGTGTATATATATTTACAGAATATGACTTTAATTAAGCTAACTGAAAACATTTTTTCTAATTTTCTTACATCTGTTTTATTTGTGATAAGGTGGCTGTGCAAGATGAGCTCATCATGAGCTTGATCACAATCATCCTGCCTTCTTAATTATTATTTTTGGGAAGCAAATAAAAGATCGTTTCGTTTCGTTTCGTTTCGTTTCGTTTCGTATGTATGTATGTATGTATGTATGTATGTATGTATGTATGTATGTATGTATGTATGTATGTATGTATGTATGTATGTATGTATGTATGTATGTATGTACGTACGTACGTACGTACGTACGTAGGTACGTATGTATGTATGTGTGTATATATGTTCATTGTACATTCACGTACACACACGCACATAAACACACACACGCAGGTTGACAGACGACAACACGACACCCTACCTGGTGATCTTGAACTTCGGTGACGTCAGAGCCACACGCGACTACTCGTCGGTCGTCGGCTCCAGAGCGATCAAAGTCATCCACGTGATCGATCCATCTTTTGGTGACGGCAATAATAATAACAATAATAATAATAATAATAAAAGTAGTAGTAATAGTAGGTATGAGCATGGAATCAACAGTTACGGCGATAATAATGATGCGACTAATAAGCAGGCGAGAATTGAATATGCTGATAAAAATAATAATAATATAAACAACAACAACAGCAATAATAATAATAATAATAGAATTAAGGGCATAGATATCAGCGTTAATGGAGGCAAGCTGGACTACATAGATGTGGCCTTCGACAGTGATGATAATGATAATAGAAATATCTACCGTCGTGTTGATGATGATGGCGATGATGGTGGTGATGATGATGGTGTTCGTGGTCGGGGTGGTAGTGATGACGATTACCACGATGACCTCACAGCGGGAAAGGTCATGGACGCCAGTCGTTTGACCTTGAGGTCAGGGCAGGGATTGGTTGGCGTGGTTATGTTGGATGAGGTGCAGTTTGTCGGAGAGTGAGTGAATGAATGAATGGATGAGTGAGTGAATGAATGAATGATTGCGAATAAACAAATGAATGAATGGAACGAGTAACTGATGGTTGTGAATAACGATTGGTTAGAAATGAATAACTGAATGAATGTATGTATGAATGATTGATTGAATAAATGAATAAATAAACAAATGAATGAATGGATGAATGAAAGTAGGAAAAGAAAGAAACTATTTTCGATATCTTTTTTTATACTTACACAAAATCAAGTGTTACATTTTGATTGATATATTTATTGTATTGTTATTATCATCATTCAACGCTGAACAACATCAGAGTAGCAACGAACAATCAGTTGATAACAACTAATGGTAACAACAACAACAACAATGATAATAATAATATTGATATTATTATTATTTTCATAATTATTTTTATGTTTTTACCAATTTTACTTTTTAGCCAGTACTATTATTTTTTCTACTACTACTGCTGCTTCTACTACTACTACTACTGCTGCTACAACTACTACTGCTGCTACTGCTACTGCTGCTACTACTACTACTACTGCTGCTACAAGTTGGTAGTATTAGTTTCAAATTTTTAACTAACATCATCTTTTGTTGCCCGTACGTGTATATCATCTTTCTTAAGTATCACATGGCCGTGTTAAATTGATAGCGTCAACTGACAATTTGTAGTAGTAGTAGTGCAGTAGTATCAACCGGGCTGGTAAGGTTGGTATGTATCATGTGTGTTTTAGATACACAAAAGATAGTTGTGTATCGAGAAAGAGTCATAGCAGTCTATGATGCAGACCTTGTCTGATAGATGATGTTTTTAACTAACATCATTTTGTTGCTCCTACATGTATATCACTTTACTTTCATAAGTATCATGTGGCTGTAACAGAAATCGATGATGGACTGCAGATTTCTCTCTGTCTCTCTCTCTCTCTCTCTGTCTTTCTCTCTTATTTTTTTAACCCTCTCTCTCATTTTTACTTTCTTTCTTTCATCTCTATTTATATTATGCTTTATGCTTATGTTTCTATTTACTCTTTGTTTTTTATTCTTATTATTATTCATTATTATTAAACCATGTTTACCAATTTGTAGTAGTAGTAGTAGTAGTAGTAGTTGTAGTAGTAGTAGTAGTAGTAGTAGTAGTAGCAGTATTACAGTAACAGTGTATGCTCGTTTGTTTGTTTATGTGTGTGTGTGTGTGTGTGTGTTGTGTAGTATGTGTGGTGTGTGTAAGTGTGTGTGTGTTTTTATGTATATATATATATATATATATATATATATATATATATATATATATATATATATATATATATAATATAAACACGTATATAATTTATTTGTTGTTTTATTTTATAAATTTGCAAGCCTGTGTTATTGAAGTGGTGTAAGTTTTTTTTATCTATTGATCCTATTATGAATTTTATCATACTAAAATCGATTGATCTTTAGTTGTACGTGTGTGTGCGTGCGTGTGTGTATGCGCGTGCGTGCGTGTGTGGGTGTCTGTGTGTGTATATTCTTTCAAGTTCATGTTTTTTTTTCAATTGAGATTTTTCATTTTTTTTTACATTTAAAGATTTTTGTTGTTCTGGCTTTTTACTGTGAAGTAATGAAAAGTAGGAACAAGTTTGGATGTGGTTTGTTCTGTCGTCTGTTCGCTTGTTTGTTTGTTCGCTTGTTCGTTCGTTCGCACGTTTGTTCGTTCATTCGTTCTACACGTTCTACATTAATTTTTTCTAATTACATTTTTCAATGTTTTACTTTAAATAAATAAATGTTTAACCAATGCAAGCGTTAACGTTTAAAATTCAAATAAACAACAACAACAACAATAATAATAATAATAATATTATTATTATTTCTTAACAAACATCAAAGTTTTTAGTAATTTTGGATCAACTCTTTGATGAATGGATACCTGGTGATATTATAGATGGATACCTGATGATATCATAGATGGATACCTGATGATATCATAGATGGATATCTTTTGATATCATAGAAGAATACCTTTTGATATCATAGACGAAGCCCTGGTGATATCATAAATGAATACCTCTTGATATCACAAATAGATATCTGTTGGTCTTATAGGTATCTACGTGGTGATACCATAGATGGGTACCTGGTGATAGTGATATTTAGAGGGATAACTCTTGATACCATAGATGGATACCTAATGATATCATAGATGGATTCATTTTGATATCATAGAAAAATACCTCTTGATATCTTGGTGTTATATATCCACCTGGTGATATTATAGAGGAATACCTCTTGATGTCATAGATGAATCCCTGGTGATATCATAAATGGATACATTTTGAATTTAGGTGTTTTGATACCATATCTATGTGGCTTCTTATTTTGATTGCGATTTTTTGACTCGGTCGCTTCGGCGATGAATTTGTTTACCTGCAGCAAGCAGCCAGCAACAAGCAAATGCGATACAAAAAAACAAGCAACAACAACAACAACTGGACTAATTTCAATTGCAGGTGTAATAATTGTATATACCTTTGTATATTCGGTATGTGCGTCTGTGTATTTGTTTGCGTGTTGTATGTATTGTACATGTATTATAGGTGTATGTATATTAGTGATATGTTGATATATTTGGTATGTTTCTCTGTATATTAGTTGTATGTATATAGTTGTATGTATATAGTTGTATGTATATTGTTGTATGTATATAGTTGTATGTATATTGTTGTATGTTGTGTATATATAGGCGTGCATGTTTGTATATCGGTATATGTATATATGTTGGTATATTAATGTGTATACAATTGTATGTCAGTGTGTATGTGTATAATGATATAGAAACGAATGCACCTTCAGAAGAATACAGGTGAACTTAGGTAAATAAATTTGAGTATGCTTGTGTGTATGTGTTTATGTGTTGTATGTGTGTGTGTTTGTGTGGTGTGTGTGTGTGTTTGTGTGGTGTGTGTGTGTGTGTGTGGTGTGTGTGTGTGTATGTTTTCGTCCGGTCAATGAAATGTTTAAATACAAAGTTTCAGTTTGTTAACACTAATACAAACATTGACGATTGACGAGAAGGCAGATCTAAATAGCTAAATAGTATAATGTATGGGTGTGTGTGTGTGTGTGTGTTTGTGTGTGTGTTTGTGTGCTATTTCTTTTGACATTTTACATTTTATTTCATCAAATCAAAACAAAGAAATCAAAGAAATTATGACAATTAAAAGAGACGATTTGGAATAGAAAAGAAGATGTGGTTTTCTTGTAATGATTGCCAGTGACGATTGTAAAAAGAGAGCTTGTTTTAAATATTTTCGTGCATGTAAACTCACATTCAAATTACAAATCCTAAAAAAACTAAAAATGGAATCAAAATTATTTAGTAATCAACTCTTACATTTTCATCAGAATGTCGTTTGTAATTATTTCTGAGTGTGTATGTGCAGGTGAATGTGTGTACGTGCATGTGTGTGCATTCGTTTTGCTATAATTGTTCGCTATTGGGGAATTTATAGATAGTCACACGCACGCACACTTGTTGGTAGTTTTGTTATTGATTTATCATCATTGATAGATGTGTAGAGCGTGTGTGTGTGTGTGTGTGTGTGTGTGTGTGTGTGTGTGTGTGTGTGTTTGTCTCAGTGCGTTTTGTTAAATTTTAATTTATTATTACTGAAGGTTTATATTGCAGAATAAAATAATAATCCAGTCAATTTATACGACTTGAAGGTTTTAAATTACCATTCGAAATGGCGCTTAGAAAATGAACTACACCATCCCTTCTCTGACTTTAACTTTATGACGTAACAATGACGTCATTTAGACTAACGCTTTCGTTGAGGTTTGCAATGAGAAGACCACGGCCCGGGCAATGTCGAATTTGAGATAGCATGCATGGTCCCGCTAGTACTAAACTACTAACATCAATTCCGATATGCTCTTGTAGTCAGAATTTTGATAATTGGATGAAATATGGTGACAAATGGTAGTCGAAAGAGAGTCATCTATGTTGAAATGTACGTACCGTAACGTACATTCGAACGAAGAGTACAAAAAGTTGAATAAAAATTTTATTTATGAGCTGCTGAACGAACTTGATAAGGAGCAGCAAATCATCGCACGAAAAATTTAAAAACTTACTTGCTAATTACACTGCACATTGGAATATTTCCATACAACTATATATATATATATATATATATATATATACATAGAGAGAGAGAGAGAGAGAGAGAAAGAGAGAGAGAGAGAGAGATAGAGAGAGAGACAGAAAGTGAGACCAAAAACCAAACGTCACCTAAAAATTATTGTCAACAACATCTTCAAAATGTTCTATCGTTTGGACATAAAATTTTACTAAGTCTTCATATATAATTTATTTTTTTTGTGTCAAGTGGTTTGTTATCTTATCATCAACTGCGTTCTTCATTAATAATAATTTATACACGTGTGCGTGAGTGCGTGCGTGAGTGCGTGTGCGTGCATGTGTGTCTGTGTGTGCGCGTGTTATTATCGTACAAATTATTTTCAATAAATTTATGGTATCCATATGGAATAATTGATAATTTTTTTTTAAATTTGTCTGTCTGACAACAAACAATTATACATAATTTAAACATACAATCGCACTCACGCACACGCGCACGCACACAACACATACATTTCATAAAATAATTATAATTAAAAATAATAATAACAACAACAATAATAATAATAATAATCGACCCTGATTTTTTCACTGTGATTTTTTCCTAAGGTTTTTATTACATACTAAATTTCGTATGATTTTTGGATGACAACGACTATGACGACGACGATGATGATGAGAATGATGATGATGAGAATGATGATGATTGTGATGATGATGATTGTAATGGTGACGATGACTGTAATGATGATGACGATGAAAACGCTGACGATGATGACGATTTGAAACGAGGAATGTTAAACAACTCTAAGCTGAACTTGCTGTAAGGCAATAAAAAGATGACAATCTAAATTGATGATGATGCTAC